GATCAGTGCCCTTCACAGACAGGGCATGAGATAAATGGACTTTGTGTTTTGTAACTTTGTGTACTGATTGAATTTTTTTATGAATATAAGTTGAATTTTATTGAATAAATTCATTTCAATAATAATGGTATAGCAATGTTCCTGCTAACATGAAAGGGTGTTTGGAATGTACTACAAAGGGGTTTTTTAAACTGGAAAACATACATATGCAATGAAAAAGATGGAGAAAGCTCTATGTCAAGGTGCTGACTGTGGTCCTCTCTGGGTAGAATTGTAGTGCTTTGCCTGCTCTTTCTGCCTATCTGATTTTCCTTTAATGATCAGGGGTGGTTTTCTACTAAGACAGCAGTAACAAGAGCAATAACAACAGCAAAAGAAAGTTTGTGTTGGAGAAAAGAAAAGAATAGAATTCAGAGGTAAAACTGGGGGTCATGAACAAGTGCAGGCAGAGGCCAGCTAGCCAGAGACTAGGGAGGGCATGGGAAGCAGGACATACCTGCCTGTGTATCTGGATAAAGAGAAACCAAAATCAGAAGCTCTGGAAGTGGTCCTCTCTCCCAAGTAGCAGCCATGGTGCTGATCTGAGGAGACTCATCTCTCCACCAGGACCCAGATGAGAGGCCCTGTTACTATAGATCACGAGATGGGTGGGGAGGCTCTGAAGTACAGCCCCTGTGGCGGTGCCTACTTCTGCAGGAGGCTCTCCTCCCTGTCCTCCCATGCCCAAAGCCATCCTGGAAAAGAGCAGGATGTACTACCCCCATCACGGAAAGGGAAAAAAGGCCTAGGGTCACTCAGCTCCAAGGGATGGCTGGTCTGATCCCTAGTTTTGAACTGGATGGTCTCCTTGTAGTTTCTTGGTTTAAAACACCTCCTAATGAAAGGCATGGGGTAGGCAAGCCTGTGACCACAAGGGCTGATACTGCCTGCCCCTTGTATGTGACCCTGCTTGGTGCCCACTTACAGTGGGATGGGGACAAGACATCAGCTTTGTCTCAAGAGGCATTGATGGCAGAGAATGCCAGGTTCCATCTAAAATCAGGGGGTACAAGAACAAAGAAACAAAGCACACTCACATCAGTGGGTAGGTATGAGGGATTAAGTGTGGATCATCATTTCACACACGCTTCTCAAAACACTTCACAGTCTTACCTTCATATTTCTTCTAAAATCTTTCCGTTGAGGTCTTATCAACCTCTGCATTACCATGGCTTCCCTGCTGTGCATGGCTGAGGCCTACAGAAAAACTACGAGCAAGAGATGGTCACAGGCTCCACACAAGGCTCCACAGGGAGGAAACTCTCAGCCTCAAGTGACACTAACAGTGACAGGAAAAGTAGGAAGACTCACATGAGCAATGAGGGGGCAGCCTAACAGCGAAGAGAAGATGTCCACATCTCACTTCTCCACCCAAAGATGACTAAACACCCTGACTCTAGCAGAGAAGCTGGTCATCTGTCTACATGGTCTGTCTACATGGTGACTACATGGCACAGTCTTCCAGGCTCACATTTCCAATGAAAAACATCAACTCTAGGTACCAACACTCATCAGTTACCAATCCACAGGCCCACCTATGTCCAAATGGAGCCTGGAGCCAAAGAATGTAGTAGTTATAAACACTGGCTCTTGAGTCAATGCTATGGGGTTTGAACCCTGCCTCTGTCTCTACCAGCTGTGTGACACCAACTAATTTCTTCACTTCTCTGTGCCTTAGTTTCCTTAGCTATTTCATGCATTAAATGAGATGATGTGCATAAAATACTTAGCATAGGGTGTGACCCAAAGTGGCAGCTCAATAAATGCCAACTAAAAGTAATTCAACAGGACATCTATATACACATCTGTGTGCACAAACACCCACAACGCTGACAGAAGCCAATCACCATGACAGCATCAGGACGAAGGAGTATCAAGACAACACTGTGTTCCAACAGCATACTCCCCATCCTCCCACAAGTGTCTGTCACCATCAGACAGTGAAAGGACCACTGGGGGAAGACACAATTTGTGAATGTGGGGGAAAGAACCAAGGAACTTGTCAAAGTTGGGGGTTAAATACACAACCCAAACTTCAGAAAATTGTTGTCAGCTGACTACAAAACACAAAACTACACATACTTGCAAATGTTGTGCAGAAGGAGAAGGCTAGGGAGGGGAGACAAGGAAGAAAAAGAGAATTGCTGGCATGTAAGCACTCTCCCTTTGCCCCTATACCAGCAGATGTTCACAAGTTGACCTGGGCCTTGGCCAAGCTCTTGGCTCCTGGTGAAGCAAAGCCTGAGCACAACCCTCTTCGAAGGCCGGGCTGGGAGCCCTCTCTAGGCAGAGAAAGGGCTCCTTGAGAAAAAAGAAGAAAGAAAGTGAAAGATAGAAAGGAAAAAGAGGGCACAGGAGTGGGAGCAAAGAAATAGGAGACTCAAGGTTTAGAGTCAGGAAGAGTCAGCAGAATTCAGAAGTGGGACCACTGGGCAATGTCCTTCATAAGAATCATCATCTTACCAACTGTGTCTGAAACAGACTTCAGAGAGAAATGAGAATCGATGTAGGCTCCTGGAGTCTGAGAGGTTGATAAAAGAACACAAGGATTCCAAGAAATAGAGCACATGCGTACTGCCTTGTGGACTGAATGACTAACACAGCACAGGGAGCTGGCAGGTGGACAGGCAACAGGCCCTTGGCTCATTTCCAGACACGGGATGAATAGGAGACACAAAGACAGATGGTATTTGTTTGGGCAGGGGGAAGAATGAGACACTTTAGTGCAAGGGAAAGAGGGAGCCATGAGTGAATCTATTGATTAAAATGACTAGACCCATTGCCTGGGCCACCCATGATCCTTCTCTGTCCTCGAGTCAAAATAAATATCAGTGAAGATTTCTTTCCAGCTAAACATGGTGTACTGAACATTCATGTCGATCTCTGTTCCCTCCCAAAACCCCACTAAAATAAGAGCATGACAAGCTCTGGCAGAGAAACGGAATGGAATCAGCCCATTATCTGCTGTGGAATCAGCCCATTATCTGATGTTCCATTCATTCATTCATTCATTCATTCATTCATTCATTTAAATGTTTACTTATTTTTGAGAGAGATAGAGCACGAGAGGGGGAGGGGCAGAGAGAGAAGGAGACACAGAATCTGAAGCAGGTTCCAAGCTCTGAGCTGTCAATTCAAAGCCCGATGTGGGGCTCAAACTCACGAACCCCGAGATCATGACCCGAGACGAAGTTGGACGCTCAACCGACTGAGCCACCCAGGTGCCCCTGATGTTCAATTCTTACAAAAATCTGTCTTACAAGGACTGGTGGTAGGAATTTTTTTTCATGAGAGCAGAGACTTGTTTAGTTTTCTACTACTTCTCCAGCACCTAAAATATGTCCAACATAGGCATTCAAGCATCGGTGAACAAATATACTCCCCAACAAAGTAATGCAACATAATGTCACAGTCTATGCCTAGTACCGACTTTACTACACTTAATTCCATATTAACTAGCACTTCTTAGATATTTTCTAACATCTGTGAGATTACAAGGTGAATAAAATTCAGGCCTGGGGCGCCTGGGTGGCTCAGTCAGTTGAGTGCCTACCTTAGGCTCAGGTCATGATCTCACGGTTTGTGGGTTTGAGTCCCACGTCGGGCCCTATGACAGCTCACAGCCTGGAACCTGCTTTGGATTCTGTATCTCCCTCTCTCTCTGCCCTTCCCCTGCTCACTCTCTCTTTCTCTCTTTCTTTCAAAAATAAACATTAAAAAATTTTTTTTAATAAAAAAATAATTCAGTCCTGAGAAAAGCAATTATTAACTGCCTTTCTGATTATAAAAACCTAATTATAATTGGTAACTCAACTTGGTTGTAGAAATGGTACTGGGAGAATAGAGCAAGAAAGAGCGTGTATACATGAGGGAAAGTCCATGAAAGCTCAGTCCTGTACTTCTGTGAAAAGTCAACAGATAATATCTCAAACTAATAAATCCAAAATAGTGGCACATTTTATTTAGATAAATGGAAGTAATGAGTAGATGTTGCACCTTTTAGCAGAATCAGAACCTGCCCTTTAATTCTGTCAGAATTGAAGGTTGAGTGGACATAGAGAATGGAGCTGGTGTGGGAAAGCAGAGCAGGGGACTCTGGCTTACCATTACAGGCTCTGCAGTAGTATTTGACTTCTAGAACCATATTCATAGAACACTTTGATCAAGACAGAAATTTTCAGGGCGCCTGGGTAGCTCAGCTGGTTAAGCATCTGACTCTTGACTTTGGCTCAGGTCATGATGTCAAGGTTTGTGAGTCTGAGCCCCACATCGGGCTCCGTGCTGACAGTGCAAAACTTGCTTGAGATTCTCCTTCCCTCCCTCTCTCTCTCTGCCCTCCCCTGCTCATGCTCTCTCTCTCAAAATGAATAAAACTTTAAAAAAAAAAAAGGAAATTTTCTTAAACAACAACAAAAAAGACTGATTTCAAGACCTAATTCAAATGATTCCTCCTTCCACAAAGTCTCAGATCTCCTTCCTATTCTCTTGTGAAAATGACTGTCTGGCAATTAATCCTATTCCACTTGGTGATTGGTGGAACTCTCACTGTTAAGTATCCCTCCACCTGTCTTGTCTTCCCGACTACATCACAACCGCTTCCCAGCACAGTGCTCTTCTCACCGTCTCTGAGGAGCAGGTTATTAAACCCACAAGCTCGGGACAGGTGCGGCACCCCAGCTCCCCGTTACCTGCATATGCGTTGGCCTGCTGCAAAAGGTCAGTGCAGGTGTGCACATCGGCAAATGCGCGGATACCCAAGCAATTGGTGGGATGCAACTGAGACTGCAGGAAGTCACAGCAGTTCTGCCGAACATCCATGAGCTGCAGCAAGCTGGCTGCTGGGAGCAGCACCTGGAGGAGAAGGTGACATTCTGAGACACTAGACACTTCTGGCAGGGCATCATCTCACTAAAACACCATCCCAATCATACCACTCCCATGCTTGCGAGGTCTTGCATGGCTCTCCCCTGCCTGTCCAACTAAGTCCAAACTTCCTTCAGGGCAGCCCCAGCCCCATTTCCCACTACTCTCTGCTTGGTAGATCCTCAGCATCAGCAGATGCTCTGTATCCCTACATTCCACACCAGTGCCTCCCAATCACGAATATATGAAATCTCTGGGGATCTTATTAAAGCTCCAATTCAATAGGTCTAGGGTGGGGCCTGAGAGCCTGCATTTCTAATGAACATCCCGGTGATGCGTGCAGCTGCTAGAACCACCGTAGGGACTGAATGTTTGTGCCCTCCTCCCCCAGATTTGTAATGTGAAAGCCTAACCCCAACAAGCTGTATTTGGAGACCGGGGCCCATGAAGAAGTGATAAAGGTTAAATGAAACCATAAAGATGGGGCCCTTACAAGAAGACAGAGAGACACCACAGCTCTCACTCTCTCTATAGTGTGAGGACACAGGAAGAAAGCGACCTTATGAAAAGCCAGGAAGAGTCTCATCAGCAACCAAATCAGCTGGAAATCTGACCCTGGACTTGTAATTTCCAAAACTAGGAGAAAGCAAATTTCTGTTGTTTAAGCCACCCATTGTGTGGTATTCTGTTATGGCAGCCCAAGCAGACCAAGATAGATTGGTTCTCCTACTTGGCTACATACTGAATCACCTGGAGAATTTTTTAAATACTGATGCCTATGTCTCACCCCCAAATATTTTAACTTAATAGGTATGAGATGTGACCTGGCCAGTGAGATGTTTCTAAAGCTCCCCAAGCATTTTAACATACAGCCAAGTTTCAGAAAGCACTTCTCTACAGCTTTAAACATATCATTTTCACTCAGAAAGGCACAGACTAAATTGTTAACTAGTGCGTTCGCTACTTAAGCATCTGTATGCCAGGTACTGGTCTAGGTTCTGGGGTTTAGTGGTAAGCACAGTAAACCAGATCCCTGTTCTTAAGGAGCTTACAATCTACTGGAACAAAAGAGTGACCCTCAAACCCCTTGAGATTCAGGCAATCACACCGTATTCTGCCATCCAAAAGAAAAATGGTAAAGAACATCTTTAGGTAGATTCTCAGAGAAAGGAGAGAGGCATTTCCTTTTAAAAGGTCACAGAACACATGAGTATTTATGCTGTATCCTGGAAGACAGAAATAGTTCCTGCTCAGGTGTGTGTGCATGTGTTTTTCCTAAAAGCCAGAGAAGACTGGCTTCAGCAGGCCAGAAGGGTGCCAATCCCAGTCTAGTTTCCCTAGGACTTGCCCACAGCTGCCAAAGCCTGCCCTCTGGATCAAATACCCAGAAGAGATGGCAGAGTCCTATTAGACCCCAGCTCTGCTGCCCTCCACCCCCACTCTCGGGGAAAAGGTACACAGTCTGAGAATGACTTTCCAAAAAAGAAACTTGAAAAAAACAATCACAGAGCATTATAGTTTCATTGAGGCTGCTTAGCTCGGGGCCCCCAGCATCCATTTCACCCCCAAACAACACCCATGCGTCCCAAGCCTTTGCTCTTAGCTGCTCCCTTGACTCTCAGGGAGAATGTCTGGGCCAGGCTCCAGATGTTCTCATCCACAAGAGCTTGCCCAGGAAGACTTAGGCTACAGATGTATTTGTTTTGTTTTTCTGATTTAGGGCACTACAAAAGTCTTTTTTTTTTTTTTTTTTTTACAAGATTTAAATTCTAGACCCTGACCTTCTCCCCAAACATGTCTGAATGCTCCATGCAATAAGGCCAAAAAGCCTGTCCCCCTGCCCATTCTTGGGCCTTGTCCCACTACGAGGGTAAACAGCTAAGTTTGCTTAGGGATGAAGCATTTCCCAGGACACAGGACTTTCAGTGCTAAAACTGAGGCAGCCTTTCCTCATCCCTGCTATAGGCAGAAACCACCAATGTCATCCTCCACCACCAATGCTCCTACTAGTGAGCTAAGAGCCTACTTTCCACAAGGCAAGCTCTTCCTCTTTATGAGCTTAACTTCTTCCTTCACACAGCTGAGTTCCAGAAAGTTCTAGAAAGCATGCTCCTCTCCCTTCTTTCTTCCCCTATGCTATGTCCCCAACGGTAAATTAACATCATGTCCTTAGTAATTTTTGAACCACTGATTCATTCCAGAGAAGGAAAAAGGTAAATTCACCCACTCTTGGGAGTTTTAGACTATAATGTAGCTCCAAATGTGACCATCTGAGCTCCATCCCCACTAAGCAGCCACGTAGTGGGTAGACCCACTAAGCACCCATAAACTGGGAACCTCAATTAACCTGTGAGCTTGCTCATTCCAGCCAAACAGATTCTAGGACCAGATTAGTCTTTGCCTGCTAGTTAAGTAGAGAACCATTAACCATTCTTGCTGAATACATAGCAGGAAAGGCAAGCTGTGTTTCAAATCCCCAAACGACCTCTGTGATACCCCCTTGACCCAGCACTAGCTACAATCTACAGTTAGGGCCATAGGTCAACAGGTCATTCTGGTTTGCTGAGACTTTGCCCATTTTAGCACTGAAAGTCCTATGTCCCAGGAGACCCCTCAGTCCTGAGCATGCTGGGACAGCTGATCATACTAGGAACCAGGAACTTCTAACCAGTTATCCTAAGAACCCCTGCTGGAGAGGAATAATCAAACATTGTCCAGAACACACTGTACTCAGTGGTGGGGCAGGCCCCAAAAGGGTCAGGCTAAGAAGAGGCAAGAAAGGGACAGCAGCCTTTTAAGCCCCACAGAGGAGGATTTCTGAGAGTCTGGTCCACCCCCAAATTGCACTGCCAGTCAAACCAAGATGACAGCATGTGAGAGACACACACCTCCTTCCCCCTTGCCCTCTTTTTTACCACAAAGGCAGTGGCACAGTGTGGTGCTTAAATTTTCAAGCTCGTGACAACCAGCCAAAGAAATTAAAATAATAAATACTCCCTGAACATATTCCTTAGGTTATACTTTCAGTTTTTAAAACCTCCCTGGATACAGCTAGCTCCCTACATAGCTTTTCCTTACTGTTCACAAAACACACTTAGCAGGCAAAAATTCTAAGGCTTTCCACCTCTCTATACACCACCCCTCCATCCTGTTTGGATCCACTCCTGCCCAAAAGCATTCCCAAGATGACTTCCCAAAGTGAACGGGGACTTGTGGTTTCTCTAATTGCTCCTTCCCTCTCTTTGATCTTACACTGTGATTAGCTATGAGTCAAAAGGCCTTTTCTTCCACTACTTGCTTCATACAGGAAGGCGTGAAGAAAAGTAAAGGAAGTCAGAACACTGAGGGCAAGGTTTGGAGACCAGAAGATAAATCACTGCTCAAACTCTAAGTCTCAAGGATAAACTGGGGCACCATCCATGGGGATTCTGGGGGCTGCACATGATGGGAACAGACAAAAATCCCCAAAGGCTGTGAAAGAAAAGAGAGCAAAACATCCCTAAGGTGGCTATCCTCATTTCCCTCTCCCACATCAACAAGGGCTTTCTGAGGATTTCCTCTTCTCTTATCTTGTGTGCAACGCAACTCCCTGACTCCCTTGAGGGGCAGCAGTAACAGGTTGTGAACAAGAGACCAAGCTCAGATTCTTGGCTTGGTGGAATCACAAGGGCAGCACTGCTTGGCTCCTGGAAGGAGGAGGCTGAGCATGTAGGAGCTGCTGGCTGGAACCACCACAGGGATGTAAGATGACCCCAGGTCAAAAAGCTTTTGGTTTGCTTCTTGTCACCCCAGTGTTAAAGGTTCTGGGAAAACGGGCCCTTGGATGACCCTCAGTAGAGTTTACAGGTTTCCTCCTAGCTTGCAAATGGCCTCCCCTCCATTTTTCACGAGCAGGCCCCGTTTTGTTTTTTCTCTCCCTTGGATAACATGAAAACACAGCAGAGGATATCCCGTCACTGAGTTTGTTTCCTCTAACAAAAACAAAAGGAAATGCCCTGCCTCAGAAAGCACCTACTCCTGGAATTTCAGGGCGGCAGGGCCATGCACAGAGGGAGGGGGAGCAGTAACCAGAGGGGCCAGGTGACAGGCCTAGGCCCCAGTCACATAGTGGGTCTGTCCCTGCCAAAACCAAACAAGAGGACTGGCATAGAAACGTGGTTAGGAGTGCCTGGGTGGCTCAGTTGGTTAAGCGTCCAACTTCGGCTCAGGTCACGGTCTCATAGTTCATGAGTTCAAGCTCCATCCACATCAGGCTCTCTGCTGTGAGACAGAGCTGGCTTTGGATCCTCTGTCCCTGCCCTCTTTCAGCCCCTTACCCACTCATACTCTCTCTCAAAAATAAACTTAGAAACACTGTTAAATAAAAATGTGTTGAAAAAAAAGAAAGTGGGGGAGGGAAAGAGAGAGAGAATGAGAGAGAGAAGGAGGGAGGGAGGATGGGAAGGAGAGGGAAAGCGGTATGTAGATGAGCAGAAGCACTAGCAAATTGGCGCTGTGATTAAAAGTGTCACTTAGAATTTTGACTTCTCAACTTACCAGCCATATGACTAAGGCAAATTACTGAACCTATCTGTGCTCTGCCTCCTCAACAGTAAAGTAAAGATGATACTGGCACTGCCTTCGAGGCTTGTTGTGAGAATCCAATGCAGTAATACACTTAAAGCAGTCAACAGAGAGCCTGGTGCATAGGGAGTGCTCAGTTAAACTGCTTTTTATTACTATTAAAATTAGGAGCGGAAGTCAAGATTCTGATCATTCATTTAACAAGCAACTCAAATTCCCCATGTCAACAGAGCAAAGTGAGACGGAGAGAGCTGGGTTCAAATCTTAACGCTACCGCTTATTCAACCACTCGGATCATTAGCTTCTTCCACTGTGAAAGAGGGATCATACTAGAATACTCGCATTTGGTGGTGATGTAATTAAGTGAAATAACGCATGTGAAGTGACTGCCACATGCTTGGCTTTCAATGAGTATTAGTAAGTGCCAGCTATGATGGCTGTTACCTCCACCAGGGAAAGGCAATTCAGTCTGTCCAGTGCCTGTGTGCCTGGGAAGGGGTTAAGAGTGGAGCGCTGGGAGCCATTTAACCAAGCTCCAGACTCTGATCCTTGTTTCCCAGGCTTTCAGGGGAGTCCCAGGGCCTCCAGGCTCACCTCCTCAGTGCACCAAATCCTCAACAAAGGTTGTCTTTACAGCTTGTGAGCAACTGCCTCAGCAGATACGTCACAGCATGAAGAAGCAGCCATGTTTTGACCTAAACTTTCTCTTCTCAACCTTTTTTGTTTTGTTTTCCTGGAGGTCACCCCAATCAAATCACATTGTAAAGTGAGGAGGAAAAATGTAAACAGAGTTAGTATATCCCATGGATTCCAAGCAACACGCAGTTCCCTAAAGGTTCCACACTGTGCCTTCCACTGGAGCCCCTGCACGTGCCCCACTCCTCACCACACACACACAAATGAACACAGCAGGCCCCTTTAGGAGCTCATGTACCAATGGGGACACAGGCATGCAGGCAGAGGAGGAAGGCGCCTGACCAGCCAGTACTCCTTCAAGATGGGGCCCACACAACACCTCCTCAGTGATGCTGCCCCCATGACCATCCCCATCCTCCACACTGCTGAGTACCTATTTGCCTAGCCATGCATCTCTATTCTCAGACCATGTGCTCTTCAGTGACAGGGTCTCTGTGCTCACAGCGCTCACAGAGCCCATACTATCTGCCTGGCACAGGGTAGCAATGTTCTAAGGTTTTATCTATATTAATTCATTTAATCCTCACACTAACTCTATGAAATTAAGTACTGCTATTACGCCCATATTACAGATGAAGACACTGAGGTACAGAAAGATTAAGTAAGCTGCCTCGTATCTCACATCTAGAAAATGGTGGAGCCAGGATTTGAAGGCTGACAGTCTGACCACTCAATAAAACGGCTACTATATGAAAATGGATCCTTAAGGCAGGGTGTCAGTGAGGGCGTCAGAGAGGCTCTAGTAGAAGGGAGGGAACACAAATCATGGGTTGACAGAGTAAGTGTCTTCTCTGGCCCAAGCTCACTGAATCCCATGCCCTCACTTTACAGATGGGAAAACAGACACCATGCCAGGGACAGAGCTAGAACAAGTGCACTCACTCTTGATCAGGGGTGAAGCTACGGCTCAGACCCAGGCCTCCCTTCAGACTCGACTCCTGCCTCATCTCTACTTCTTCCTCTGAACCTGCACATCTTCAATCTGGCCCCTGCCCTACCCCTAGAACGCAGTTTTACAACAAACAGTGGTGAAGCCACTTTCTATAGAGGACTCTGATGAGTTTATCTGCTGCTACCTGCCTTCATATAATGGTGTTTACACACTACCACTGGGTTAGACCAAAGCAACAAAGACAAATACCCGGCCAGGAGATAAGGATCCAGAGTGGAACATCTTCTACTTATCCAAGTTTGTAAATACTTTGGACTTGAGGGGGGATAAAGAAAGTTATTCAACAAATACATGGTAAAAAGGTTAGAAAAAGCTGGTTCCATTCATACAATCTACAACCTCACCTACAGTGTTGTATTTGTTGGTTTGTTTTTTTTGTTGTTGTTGGGTGCAGTTTTTTGGGGGGGGAGGGGATGGTGGGGAAGTGTTTGGTTTTGTCTTAGTAGCTTAAGACAACACAAATTTATTTTCTTACACTTCTGGAAGTCAGAAATCCCAAATGCATCTCTCTGGATTAAAATAAAGGTGTCAACAGGGCTGCATTCCTTCTGAAGGCTCTAAGGGAAAATATGTTTCTTTGCCTTTCCTGCTTCTAGAGGCTACTCGCATTCCTTGGTTCATGGCCCCCATCTTTAAAGATGGAAACATCAAGTTGAGTTTGTGTCGGGTCATATCTCTCTGATTCTCTTTATTCTACCTCCATCTTCCACTTCAAAGAGCCCCTCTGACTCTACTGGACCCACAGGGATAATGCATGGTCATCTCCCTATTGCTTGTCCACTGATCTACAACATTAATTCCATCTGTACAGTGAACTGCTCTTTGACAGTTAGAACCTAACATATTCATAGGCTCCAGAAATCAGGACATGGACATCTTGGGAGAGGGTCATTACTTTGTATACTACACTATATGATTAATAGTTACTGATATACCCTAATGCAAGGTTTTTCAAAAAATTATTAACCCACTGTACATTTTTCAGTTGACATCTAGCATTGGTCATTAGAGTTGCAAAAGATATAATTCCTTTCATTCTGTAAATATCAATATTTACATCACTTTTCAAAGTATCCAAGTGAATATAAATGTGATGGTGGTTTGATATCAACCTTTTCATATGTTTTTTCAACACATGCACTGTACTCACTTTATATCAAATTATTCTGCACTTACTGTTACTGCCCAAAAGTCATTCAGCTGTTTAGTTTCTGTTGCTAGACCTAAGATGTGAGCACTCCCTTGCTGATTTCATTCTGGATGAAAAAGACTAGAAATGAATTGCAAAGGCTGTGTGTTTTATGGGGTATATACCTCAGTTTAAAAGGGGAAGGGGATTAGACTAGATCACTGTACAACCTGAAAGTCTATCCAGAGGCCAGAGACAAAGGCAGGCTCCGGAGGCCCGAACGCAGGGTGCCTCAGACCCTCAGCTTGCCTTTACCCTTTACCCTCACAAGTACCCTTCACCATAGCAAGCCTCAGCTTAAATTTTATCTCCCAAAAGAGCCCTTCCCAGATCCCCCCACCCATCTAAACTGCGTCTCCTTGATACTCTCTAATTATATACCATGTTCCCTACCTCAAAGGACTTATCACAATCTGTGCACAGACATTACTTGTGTGCTGATTTGATGAGCATCTGTCTTCACCCCCAGACCACAAACTGCGTGACAGCAGGCAACGGAATCACCCCTGTTACCATTACAACCACATAGCCCAACGAAGTGCCCAGCATATAAGAGGCACTCAAACATCTGGGTTGAATTGAATGAAAAAATGATTACCAACTCAGCTTTCCAAATACCGTGATCCTGATAAAGGAGGTGGTGTTCTGGAAAAGGGAAATAGGTATTTTGGTCACTGGAGAGGTATCTGCCTCACAATAAAGAAGGTGGAACTGTGCTTTAAGAAAAAGAAAAAAGGAAAATCCTTCATATCACATGTACCTTCCAGCACTTTACTGAAATAGTAAGGCCCTTAATGACAAGAAATAGTATGTCCTGTGTCTGTGTTTGGCCCAGGGGTTTGTAGGTTCCAGAATGGGCCACACCCCCTCAACCATCTCTCCTAGTGAAGCATGCCGGTGCTGCCTCATGTCCCCAACCATTAAGACGCACACCTTTGGGTGAAGCAGTGTCTTTGCTGGCTCCTCTTTTCAAGGCTCTAGATGGCTGAGGATGAGGGCGGGGCAGCAAAAGGAGGAAAAGGCACACATTTCGCAGCCGCACACCCCTGCTGAGACTCAGGCCTGGTGCTTGGCACCTCCATCTCTGAGCATGAGTGCTCAAAGAAACTCAGGTGACTAATGTTGAAACAGGAAAAATTTTTAACAGCCTCACAATCCACACTGAAAATCCCTGAGATGAGATGATGACTGGGGAGAAGTGGGGTCACCCTTCACCCAGAGTTTGAACCAACATGAGTTACAGACTTTGCTCTAGTGCCCAAGCTCATTTAGAGGCATGACGGCTTAGCGGTTAAGAGTATGGGTGCCATGATCAGACAGGCATGGGTGTGAGGGTCTTTCACCCAACTAAAGGCCATGTGATGCAGGGCAAGTCACCTAACCTCTTTGGAGCTTTAGCTTCCTCTCCAGCTACCAAATGAGTTCTCGCGAGGGTTCAATGAAATGATGCAATAATAGTGCGTGGTGAGCGATTAGCTGGGGTTGAGTTTACCTGGACGTTCTCTTCAGTCACCTCGATTTCTGCCGTATAGATGTAGTCAATCAGCTTATTCAGCGTCCTCCCATCCACGTCCTTGATTTCTATCTTCTTGGCTTTACTCTCAGACATGTCACCTACAGTCCAAAACAAAACCAAAATGGACACGAACTTGGTGCTTAACTTTCACATAGCCTCCTGCCCTGTGTTGGCAGCATAAAAGCACTGGGAGGTGGCAGAAGGGATTCAGGCATGGAGGAGGATAAAACAGCTGACTTCAAGGGCACATCAACTTTGGGTCTGTGATCATCTGCAAACCCAACTCTATGCATTCCTCACTCTGTCTGTTGCCCATTCCCATTTTGAAGGCAAATCTGTGTGCAGTAGTAACTCATTCAACCAACATTTACTATAAACCTGTACATACAGGGCCCAGAAAAGTGAACAAGATATGCACCTGCCCTCAAGGAGCGCACAGTTTAGCAGGGCAGATATATAAAAATATATGAGGCGATAGGAGCTTAATGGAGATATAAATAACATGCCAATATAACAACAATACAAAGTAACATTTATCGAGTGCTAACTACAGCTAAGCAATGGGCTAAGCACTTTAAAGTGGCACCTCTTTCAATCTTCACAACAACCTAGGAGTTTCATTAATACTATCCCCAGTTCACAGATGAAGAAACTGAGGCACAGGAGGGTGGGTATTCATTTTGCCCACAGTTACACATCTAGGAAGGGGCCAGGCTGGGACTGAAACCAGTGAGTGTGACTCCAGAGTCCACACTCTACTCACGATCCTCTACTAAATCCCAAGAATGCAAAAGATGGAGCAAACAAGCCCTGGGAAGCCATCCTAGTAGGAGGTCACACTTAAGCTGGGTATTTCCACGGGCAGCAAAGGTGAGGAAGGATGAGCCGGATGCAGGAGCCATAAGTTGTAAAGGCAGGAAAGTGCCAAAAGGATAAATCTGGAGAAGAGTGAGAGGCTGGTATGGGGTGCCAGTGAGAAGAAGCTGGAGAGGGAGGCAGCAGCCGGGGCTTGCAGAGCCCTGTAAGCCACGCAAATGAGTTTGGACTTGATCCTAGGAGTAGCACCACTGGAAGGTTTTAAACAGGGGAATGACATCAACAGATGGGTATTTCTGAATGAAATTTTGGATGCACGGTGGAAGCTGGATCAGAGGCAGGGAAAACAGTTGGGAGGCCCTGATAATAATCCAACAAAGAAAAGGACAGAGCCTGTGAACTAGGGCAGCAGCGGTACCACATGTGCACAGAAATGAGGCCCCTTTCCCCAGCCTGCCCTCTTACACAGCACATGGGTTTGTCTACAGCCAAACTCATCCAACAAGGGCTGCTGATTCCAGTAGGAAAAGACAGGCTAGACATGTGTCTTTGTAGACTGAAATAAAGGGCAACTTGACTGCAAGAAACAGGGATTCAGAAGCCCTTATGTGAGTATGAAAACAGAGCCCGGGTAGTTGTTTTCTCTCTGTGGAATTTGTGTGCTGGAGCCAAGAAAATAAAGTACAGTACAGCGTGTGGGCTGCAGACGCCCACCTCCAAGCGGCATGGGCAGCACATGATTCCTCCACCAATCTATAGTTCCCAGCGCAACACAGTTAGAGATTTGAATGAGTCTGGAAGAGGGAGGAAAATCATTCCAAATTCTGCCCATTCCTTCCACCATCAGACCAGGTAGACCAGAGACCCTCCACCCTGTTCTGTCTTCTCTCTGATTACCGGTAGAAGTCAGTGAAAAGGCCTCAGCACAAAGAGCCTTGAGGCAGGACAAACTGGCAAAGGGGAAAGAGGAAAAGATAGGGGATTTCTACTGCACCCATTAGACAGGCTCTCACAATCTCTCTTGAGTTTACTCCAAGACACATAAAATAAAAATCCACACCCAAGAAAATCAAAAGTTCAACTTATCTTTCTAAACAGCTATTAAGAAAGTCATCAGTAAGAGTCCAGCTGATAATTATAATGCAAATGATAATTACAGGCAGCCAATTATTAGTTTAAGAACTTGGGCCTTAGAAAAAAGACTGAAAAAAAAAGAAACACCTGACTGCAAGAACCAAGGGATTCAGAAGCCCTTATGTGAGTGTGAAATCAGAGCCTGGCTTGATTGTTTTCTCTCTGTGGAAGTTGTACTTGAGAATAAGATCAATCAGTTTTGTAACTTCCGGGTAAACAAGTAGAAACTCCTGAAATTACACGAAGTTACCAGTATATATGGGCAAAAGTTTTATTTTTCTGGGGGATGCAAGATCATTCTTAGTCAAATGTATAGCAAACATTCAGACACAGATGGTGGAACTTTGGGAGATTTTTTTTCCTGCTTCTTTACATGGCTCCAAAATTTCTAATTTTCTATATTAAATACTTAAACTTCAATAAGCAAACAGGAAAACCACGTGAAGGAAAAACTATGGCCTCAAAAACCAAAATCTATTTTAAGAAAGTTCCTTTATAGGATATTAGAAACCGGTATAAATCACACAGACTTGTAAAATCCAACATTATTTCTTATAAACCAACAGAAATTACTGCACCAAACTAAGGCTTCAGCTTAAACAGACTCTGAAAGTGGTAGCAGTAATAGCTGCTACTGTGTGCCAGAACCTCTGCCAAGGGTTTATACACGTTATTTCATTCAATCCTTGTAACAACCCCAGGAGGTAGATATTATTTCCATTTTATAAACTATAGAACTGGCATTTCAAAAGGTATTTGCATATGGCTGTGAGAGGCAGGGCTGGGATTTGAATCTTGGCCTAACTCTAGACCGCATGTCATTTCTCACAAATCCCTGGATAATTTAAACCTAACCCTAACTAATGACCTTCATAAAAGTATTCCCAAACAAGGCCTTGGTCCAAATTCTAAGGACAACTTAGTATGTAAGACCTAGCAAACAAGAACCAAGAAGGAGAAGATCTTGTCAAGCTCATTTGCCAAGATATCCTCAACACCTAACAAAGTGCTTGGCATATAACAAGCACTTAAAAAATACTTGTTGGAGGAAAAAGAAGAAAAGGAAAAAAAGGGGCTTTCCTTGATATCTCATAATTCCATGGATTCCAGTAATTCCTGAGGAGCAGAAACCAACAAAGGCTTGGTCATTCTTGCTCCTTTCCTTACCTCGACTACTCTGACAAAATAAAACAAAACATGAGCTCTATATGTCCTTCCATCTTCAAGGTCAACCCAAGAGTCCTCCTCCTCTGCTTTTGCCAAGAGGCCCAGCCCAACCACCTCAGATTTGAATTTTCTTTTTTTTTTAATATGAAATTTATCGTCAAATTGGTTTCCATACAACACCCAATACTCATCCCAGCAGGTGTCCTCCTCAATGCCCATCACCCATTTTCCCCTCCCTCCCACCCCCCATCAACCCACAGTTTGTTCTCAGTTTTTAAGAGGCTCTTATGGTTTGTTTCCCTCCCTAACTCTTTTTTCCTTCCCCTCCCCCATGGTCTTAGGTTTCTCAGGATCCACATAAGAGTGAAAACATATGGTATCTGTCTTTCTCTGTATGGCTTATTTCACTTAGCATAACACTCTCCAGTTCCATCCATATTGCTATAAAAGCCCATATTTCATTCTTTCTCATTGCCAAGTAGTATTCCACTGTGTATATAAACCACAATTTCTTTATCCATTCATCAGTTGATGGACATTTAGGCTCTTTCCATAATTTGGTTATTGTTGAAAGCGCTGCTGTAAACATTGGGGTACAAGTGCTCCTATGCATCAGCACTCCTGTATCCCTTGGGTAAATTCCTAGCAGTGCTATTGCTGGGTCATAGGGTAGATGTATTTTTAATTTTTTGAGGAACCTCCACACTGTTTTCCAGAGTGGCTGCACCAGTTTGCATTCCCACCAACAACAGTGCAAGAGGGTTCCCATTTCTCCACATCCTCTCCAGCATCTATAGTCTCCTGATTTACTCATTTTCAGAAAATGTGTTAGTCGCACATCTTTCTAGCCTCTTCCACTTCTGCCTGTCATCTGTTACCATGCATGTCCTATTCCTCCAAAAAGAACATGATCCATTCAAGGGCAGATATTTGTTCATTCATTCATTCATTCATTCAACAAACACATATCAAGCAGTCCCTATGTGCCAAGCACTGTGCTGGACCAGAGGACACAACCATGAATAAGTTATGGCCCTGCCCTCATGGAGCTCAGTCCAGTGGGGAGAGACAAGTAAACCAACAATTATGAAATGTGTTAAATACTAGAAAAGAGGGCTTAGCTTAAAGAGTTGTTAAGCAGGGATTCCTGCACCCTGACCTGTATGCAAAATGAATAGTACACAGGAACCCGTATTTGCCACTGGGGAGAAGAGAATCCATTGTTTTCATCAGATTGATTCATCATGGTTAAGAACCACAGATCTAAAGTGAGATCTGGAGAAGGAGTCATGGTTAGTTAGGAGAGAAGGGAGTATGAGGGAAGAATCAATATTCCAGGCAAAGACAGTAGTAGTGTATGTAAAGGTCTGGAGGCAAGAAAGAACAGGACCTGTTCTGGGCCCACAAGAAGCTGAATGTGGCAGAAGCACAGCAAAGAGAGGAATGGGGGGGGGGGGGGGGAGAAGAGAGAGAGAGAGAGAGAGAGAGTAATGGGGAGTCAAGGCTGGAGACAGAAGCAGAATCTAGGCAAATGGAAGGCCTTGTGGGCCATGCCAAGGAGTTCAGACTGCATCCTGAAAGCAATGGAAAGCCCCTGACGGATTTTTTTTTCTTTCAGCTATCAGGTTATGTTAATGAGGGATCAGACCAGGATCAAAATATTGATTCAAAGGATACTCTATGCTTGTTCAAATGGCGGAATGATTAAGCCAATTACTTTCTTTTAGTTTTTAGTAATAAATAAATCTTAATTTAACTACGATCATTTCTGAAAATGATGTGCATTTAAACATGGCTTTCATGACACATCTTTTTTTAATTTTACTTAAATCCAAGTTAGTTAACATATAGTGTAATAATGGTTTCAGTGCTCATCCCCACAAGTGTCCTCCTTAGTGCTCATCACCCATTTAGCCCATCCCCCAACCCAACACCCTTCCAGGAACCCTCAGTTTGTTCTCTGTATTTAAGAGTCTCTTAT